ACGCGAGAAATAGAAGTATTCGAACGAAGTATTCGAACGAATTCGGATCGTTCTTAAAATGGCTCAAGGAATCGCGGCGATAAGATTACCGTGACTCATTCCGTTACGACGTACTTATTGTTGAAGGCGAAGAGAATATTTCGCTCGCGTGACCAGAATTATTTATATTTGGGAAGCTGTGAGCTTTGAGTCCGCAGACGCAGCGCGAACTTTATATTATTTTTTTTTTTTTTTTTTTATTGGGTAAAGGGATGTCAATTATGGACCATGCATTTTCCGGGGAAGTTTCTTTAAGTTCTAAAGGGAATACGAGTAATATAGATTTTATATGTGTCTTATCTCCGAAGTAGCTAATAAGACGTTCTCTTTTTTTATGTTTTGATAATCTGTTGGGAAGCCATGGATAATTAAGTCTTCTAGATAATTAAAATAAAAATGGGAAAAATAGCACGAAATTGCGGTCGGTGATTTTGGAATTTGCGCAGCAAGAATACGCTTTTATCGTCCGCTATCAATTGCAAATATTAAAAATACGGTCGAAACGAGAAGCTGAGACCAACAAGGCACGGAAGGTAAAAAGGAAGTACGTAGATAATTCTTGTTATCAACCGCAATACTTCGAAATTCCGAAGTAGTCGTATTGAGATCCGTCAGATGTCGAGAGAATTCGATTTCCGCAGGGACGACTGATCCACACAGTCGTTTGGGCTTAGCGAACCCATGGACCTGAGCTTAAAAGCTTTGTGTTCACGATGTTAGAAATCGGTCCGAGATCTCGGATGAAAAAAAAATTGACCAATCATATTGATCAATTGGCGGAAATAGTCACTGCAATTGATCAATTTTTTTCTCTATTCGAAAGCTCGGCTCGATTTCTAGCATCGTGGACACAAAGCTTAACACATCACACTGCGATTACATAACACATTTATACATTTATATGCACATATACTCGTCAAGAGCGGACCTGAACTCCAGAAAAAAATATTTTTTCTTTATTTTTCTAGAATTCTGGATTATCTTAATTTGATTTAAAAGTCTTGATTTTAATTTGATTAAAAAATTTTTTAACTAAATTTTTTATCAAAAATTCTACGTGTATTTTATTTATTTATATTTTATTTAATTTATGTAATTTATTATAAGTTATAATATATATACATAATTGATCAATATTAATAAAAAAAGATCAAAAATGTGTAATAGAATTATGTCTATCGGGTTCTCTTTGAATCATCGGGTCTGTACATACATATATATATATAAATATTTTTGCGAGCAATCTGGAAACATTCAAAGAAATTTGGAATAAAAGTAAGATAAATATTTGATGAAGCAGGATAGGGAAAATTACAGCTGATTTTTATTTTATATTCTTTTGAAAGAAGATTCATTTACTTCGTACAAAGATTTACACTACACAGTTTTCTCAACATTTATTTGAAGGCAAACCCTCCTTTTATTAGACTCTGATTTTATTGTACTCCCCCGAGCTCTTTTCACTTCGAAAGATAAATGACGTAAAAACGAATGCGAAAATAAGTGAATAATAGGAATAAATGAATCGTATAATGAGCGCAGAGATTGAATATTGAATACGAGAAACGGAAAACGAAATAAAAAAAAAAAAAACAACTAGACACTCTTTTTAAAATATAAATTAAATATTTATTTCACTTTTTTACAATTTACACGAAAAATATTAGATGTCTGTCTTTGGAAAAGTATAAGCATAAAGAATTAAAAAAAAATAAAAATGATACAACGTTTCAACTTCATGTGTTAAGATACTTGGATTGTCCTGCATATTACATGCATAATCGTGGAAGCTTGAAGATATCTTTCTAATAATAGTCAATGGCTGCCATTGTCCGCCAAGTATTCCGCCAAGATGAAACAAGTTTCAAACATATTTTTCCAGAATTAAGTATCAATTTAGACGTCCTTTTCCCGGCTATATCATCTGAATTGTAAATTTGTTTAGAAACGAGCACTTGATATAGTTCCACTTAAACAGGATGCACTTAAAGAATTCACATCCACCTTGAGGTTATTTCCTTTTTCTCCGGCGAATAAAATCGATCGAAATTGCGCGAAGAGTCGGGGGTTCGTGGAGAAAATTAAAAGCGACCGTTGCACGTCGCTGCGAGAGTGCACATCAAAGCGAAATGCGTGCGCACGTCATAGGTTTCTTGTGCCTCGGTAAAAAAGGCAATTACATCGCGACGAAATAAAGAGACACATCCGCGCTTCTTTTCCTTCCGGTTCGCTTGGAATTCGTTTCAATCTCCACAGCGGGGATAATACGGTTGATTTCTCGCGCGATTTCTCGCCGGCCGGCCGGCCATACGGGGGTGGAAAACCGCGCGCGGGGGCCGTTCGCGAGATTCAAATTAGTAGCCGTTAAAGCCCCCGAAAGAGACATTGGATTCAACGATGCATGAAAAACGGGACAGAAGCGCGCGCGGGGCACACACGTAACATAGGGGTAGTAAGAGTAAACGGCTACGTGCGCTGCACGGCTATTTAATTTGTGCCCGGCGGCGACGGCGGCGGCGGCGGCGGGGAAGCGACGGTGATGGCAGCCGGAGAGGGCGATGACGATAGTGGCGTAAGGTTACCTCTCGCTCTTTGAGGTCGGTGGTTGATGGCGATCGGTCACTCCGCGCCGCACCACTGCTGGCCGACGATGCGGGCTTGGCGTACGCACTGAAGGAACGCAACTCTCGAGCGGAACGGAGACCATCCTGGGGGTAGGTTGGGGAGACCGGTGGAAAGAGATTAGAGGACGATGGTGGTCTCGCGTGCGAGGCGGCGACTCGATGTACATCATCTGCACCCCTTTCAGTACGCCTCTTTCTGACGTTCCCCCGGAAGGATCGCACGTTTTGTTCGCGCAGCACGCGTGTTTACGTGACGCTGCTTGCGTCAGCTATTGGATACTTGCGAGAGCTATCTTTTATATCCCTAGGGGAGAGAACGTGATACAATAAAATGGAAGATGAACGATAACCATTAAATATTTGTAAATAATTTTTATTAATGTTTATTTTACGGAGAAGTTTTTACGAGAAAGTGTGATAAGTTGAGAGATGGATAATCTTCGTTTTTCCATTGCGGAATTACAGTTTTTATGTGGAAAAATGAATATTCTAGTAGTTTACGTTTCATTGTTTCATTGTTCACCTAGTAGCATATGTTTCATGTTCGTATCTATACATTTAAATTTCATTAGAATCGCAATTTTGAAATCTGATAGTATTTGGATTATTCGTGATTGGATTTTAGTATCTAACAGTATCTAGCTTCAGATAGTTTTCTTTGCCAAAATTACACTTGTTGTTGCAATCAATTACAATTAATTACATCTCATAATAATTAATCTGTAAGCAATTATAAAACAAGATTTTCTTTCGTTTAATTTGAAGACTCGTTTTATTTCGCTTTACTCGTTGTTACTTCAATGAAGGGCGTCGAAAGGATTATTAGATGCACACCGTTCTTCTAACGATCTCCAACATCGCATCTCGTTTCCGGCGAAGCTGTAGCGTGATACGGGCATTAGGCTACGTGCAATTTCTCCTGCAATTTCTCCGTGTCTTCGGGGATCGGAGTATGCGTCGCCGTCGGTATACGGACCGGAGCCTGCCGCGGGCGTAGCGCGAAGGGGATGATTCCGAGCGCGTGCCGAGGGTGGCCGGTCGGCACCGAGCACCGTCGAGCGTGTCCGAGGTCGGTCGAATCGCGGAACCGAGGGAACTTAGCGCGCAGCTCGAAGGACCCGGTTTAGTCTATCTCCTGGCGCTAGACGCGACGAGTGCCGAGAGGGGTTGCGGCGCACCGAGGCAGAGGGGTTGCGCGCGTGGTTGTACGTCATCTCGCTCCTGATCCTACGCCTCTTGCATACACACGTACACGCATACGCGCACACCACGCATACGCGTTCACCACGTCTTTCAGAGATCCTATATCCCCCTACCTACCGGAACTTGTCAGACTTCGCGCCACCCTTATGTTTATACCGATACACAGTTGGAAGCCGGACAGGTGAACTCACTGCCCCGATCTCCCCACGATGAAACGGGAGTGGTAGGTCCTTCTCGCTCTCGTCGTTATCCATCCACCTGTCCATCTGCCTGTCCTCTGGTCTCTCGCGAAATTTTCCAAGGAACTCGATGACGACGGCACCGCCGGCAGGAATGGACGCGAGATCGCAAAAGAGACAGCTCGTCAGGCATCGGCCATGCACCACGTATCGGTCGACCCACCACGTGGATCGTGGTCTCGTGCTCTTATCGCTGGTACCGTTCGCGCTTCTCCTCGTCCTCGGGGTTGGTAAGTCGTTTCTTGATCATACGCACTCGTCACTTCCGTCTCGATCATCGCGCGTCACACTTTTGCTGATATTACTACGGCGAACTGCGATGAACAATTAATTCTTAGAAAAACAAATATAGAATATAGAATCATTTTATGATCTACTGCAGGGGAGTCTTTTTTCTTCTGGGAAATCTTAATTTCCCAGAAAAAAATAAGACAAACGCTTTTAGCCGTTTCGCGTCTCTAGTACGTAAGTACGTCTCTTCCATCTTTTTTATATATTTCTGTTAGAAATATGGAAAAAATAGTTATATTCAAGCAACTTTTTAATTATACAAATGATTAAATCCATATCATTATTAAGCGTATAATTATTTTTGAAAACAACGAATACAGTGTTTCATTGTCATGTTAAGCAGATGTATCACTGTTAAGCTTCATGTTAATCATTTGTGAATGCAACGAAGTTTACTGTTTCGACGGCCTTCCTCTGTCTCTGTCTCTCTCTCTCTCTC